TCTGTCTCTCCCTCCCCCACCACATTCAACTGTTGGTCCAGACTATGACTTGTACACACATCTTCCAGTGTTGGTGCTCCCAGGCCACATTCCTGCACTGGGCAGGCACATATAATCATTGCCACATCTCACACAATCACCTCAAACTCCCCCACTGGAACTATTGACTCTAATTCTATCCCCCTGCTCTTTCTCTCACTGTGTCTGAGCTGGTGCTCACTCCCCCACTTGAGCTACCTACTCTACCTCCATCCCCTTGCTCTTTCTCTCACCATGTCTGAGCTGATGCTTCTCACATATTCCAACCCTTCCTTACTCGCCTTACTCGTGGTTAATCTTACGAGATAAAGACAGCATTGTGAAAGCTACGAGCCCCATTAATATGATCGGGAGGTTAATGGCTGCTTGACCCTCACTACAATCACCCTCTGCACTAATGCACTCATCACACATGCCTCCTCTTTATTTACACAGACTGTGGATTAAAGCCTGTATCATTTTGGCAGCTGGTCGCCTAATCTTGTGATATCTATAACAGCCCACACGGTTACCAATAGCAACAATCTCCTCTCAAGTCTGTTGCCCCACCAGGTTGCCAGAAAGGCTTCTCAACACAGGCCTCATTCCAGTGACTGCAATGTGCCATCATCTGATATCTGGGGAAATCCAGACACACACACACAGCTCCACAGAGTTACTGTGCTCCACAAAGTAACTAAGCGCTCTGAGACGCCGTCCGCCGTGAAGGGCGCTATATAAATCCAAGTTGTTGTTGCTGTTATTGTGTTGCTTATAACACAGGACAACCCCATTACACCGTGGCTGTTGGGGCCCATAAAACATGAGCCCCTGTGTTTCAAAGAAGCTTCCTGTAGGGTAGCTGCAAGTAAGTGTTTCTGATCCAGGTCAACCCTGTGAACTTCTAATAATAATTTTAATATAGCAACTTTACCAACAACAACAATTTGCACTCATATAGAATCCTCCATGCAGGGTAGCATCTCAGAGCGCTTAACGGTGGTGGAGCCTGACTCCTAACACTGGGAGGACATTTCCAAGCTCTTCACAGGATTTACTGAAACGTCCACGGTAGGCAAATGTGGCAGCAATTTTTTTGTGGACAGCAATATCCCACAAACTGCTATGGAATGAATGATAAATTTTACGTGGAGGATTGTTGGCCAGGACACCTGGTCACCTGAAGAGAAACTCCCATCTCTTTTTGAATAGTGCCATGAGATCTTTAACCTCCATCTGAACAGACAGATGGGGCTTACTTTTTTTAAAGATTTTAAGTCACATCTAAAGAAAGACAATGCAGCACTCCACCAGCACTATTTTGGAGTATCAGCTTCAACTGAGGTAAAAACTTATCTTTCACTCTGAAGCGCTGACCAACCAATCGTGTGTTTTCAGTATTTTCCAGTTCCACTTCAGATTTCCAGTATTGTGCTTTTTCTTTTCATCTCTGTCCAGTACTGCTTTTTGTTAAGCTTCATCCCCTTTCATCTCAACAGTTTGTTTTATATAAAAAACACTCTGTAAATGTGTGAATGCAATGACAGCACAGCCAGCCTGCCTCATTGGCAAGACTTGGGTTGAACATACCAGTCATTGGGGGCAGGGAGTCTTCCCACTCAGCTCTTGTTAACCCTGCAAGCCAAAGCCCTAACAGGTAGTGTGATCCTAGCCGGACAAGTAGCGTGAAGCTTGCCAGACTGTGCTTCCTATGACAATCTATGCCGTTTTAGCTGGGTAAGGTCCTGAACACTTTGCAGTCTCCAAACCTCACAAATCTACACCTGATACTGTCTGAAATTAGGTAAGTAGGGTGTATCACTCCAGGGAGAGAGAACACATTCCATTCCAGATGCAGAGACATTTCCATGTGTGGCATAAACATATGCAACTCTCAGTCTGTTTTGGATACTCTTAAGCACAGTGATGAGTTTCTGACACCCGGCTGAACAGATAAAACACTCTGTGTAAATAACATCAGTAGGAACCAAGAAAAAAACACGCAGGAGCAAACCTGTTTTGAAATTTGGGCACGTCTCCAGGTCTCCAACACTATTATTTTAGTGCCAGTCGACCAAGGAAACAAAAACTTCCAAAAGTCTTGTGTGCAGGAAGTACGTGGTGGCCTATTGCCTGGAGAGCCCCCATGTCCACCTCCCTTGCCCATCCCTGGTCCCCACTGATCTGTCCACCCTTCCGTCCTATTCCCCCGCTATTGAACAAAAACATGTTGATTTTGCATCTTGTTCTGCACACAGAAGAAATATCAAGTCTGGGCAGCTACTTTCTTCATCAAATATTGTAGCTTATTTGAACAGGTCCTGGGACAAGCCTTTCACTCTGGTATGTGAATGCATCGCACGTTCTGTTCACACAGCATCGGGTCAGGTTACACTGTGATGGGAGAAAGTTTTCATTAACACTGTAGACAATTTGCATTTGGCATGATGATCCAAGGAAGGAGCTCACAGCATCACCACATATTGTGACTTGCTAACATCAGAGCGACGGGTCAGGGAGCACTGTTGCTCAGTGAGGCATTTGTTGTGCAGAACAAATGGTTCAGAGAACAGTAATCTGGGTACGTGCAGCACGAATGAAACTAAACAGGGCAGATTTACGGCCAGGCACGTATCAAGGAATCACCGATATCAGTTCCTTCAAGCTACTTGTGTCTATGTCAGCAAAACACACAGAAAAAGTAAGGAGTGAACTGTGTGCACAAAGCACTTTTTCTTTTGGTTGATAGAACTAGGCACCAAAGGTTACAAACTGCCTGGAGCAAAGCCAGCCTAAACTTGGATGGACTCGTCCTTAAATATTTTGGCATGATTTGCTCTCTCACTTCCTCCCTTCTCTCTCTTTCTCACTCTCTTCCACACGCTCTCTCCCTCTTGTTCAATCTCGCTCACTCACTTCCCTTTCTCTCACACGCTCTCTTACTCACTCCCTCTTTATCACACATTCTATCATTCACTTTCTCTCTTATACATTCTATCTTTCTCTTGAAACACACACTCTCATTCACTCCCTCTCTGATACGCTCTATCTCATGCACTGCATGTATTTCGTTCGCTCTCCCTCAGACTCTCTTAATCACTCCCTCTCTCTGTCACACATTCTCTCATGCACTTTCTCTCTGTCTCTCACACACACGCTCTTATTCACTCCTTCTCTTATAGGCTCTATCTCATACACTCTCCCTCACACTCTCTGTCATTCCCTCTCTATGATAAATTCTCTCATGCACTCTCTCTATGTCTCTCACACAATCTCTTATTTGTTCTCTCTCCTCTTTCCCTCTCTAACACAATTCCAAACCCACTTTATGACTCCAGTACACTACATGGCAAAATGTAACTTCAACAACAACAAATTGCATATATATATTGCATATATTTCATGCCAAAAGGACGTCCCAAGGCGCTGAATAAAACTTGGGAAATGGGAAAGTAAAATTTGGGAAAGTAAAACAAACTGTATGTTCTGTGAAGGGCTTTGAGACATCCGAAGACGTTATAAGGCGCTTATATCAAATGCAAGGATTATTTATTATAGCTTCCTTTACAATGGTCCTGTGACTCACTTGCCATTACATCATACAAAGCTCGGCAAGCTTCGATCTGCAGGTAATTTGCAAACCTAAACAACAAGTTCAGAGCTGTCATTCATGTCTGTGAGCCATCACAGCTAGTCCTCTTCACCACAGACCTTTCAAGCCTCATTAACTTAAATGTGTTGAGACCATCTATTTCCCTCACAGCAAACAGATTAGCGACTATTGAAAAGTGACATGGTAAAATCCAATGGATCAGTATGTATGGTTAGAGCAATAAAATCATGCTGCAAGCCATTACCACAATATAAAAGGGCATTTTTAAAAAAAATCTCACAAAGGGTATGAAAAAGATTGAGGCTTATTTCAACACAGAGATTGGAATCTACAATGTAAGACACGTATCACACGGCTTTGAATCGTAACCACTTGTTGTGGGTTCAGGCCCCACATGGGGACTCTGAGCTCACAGTTTAGGTTGACATTCCAATGTAATGCTGGAAGAGATGCCATCCTTCTGGTGAGACATAAAACCAAGGTCCCGTCTGCCTGTTCACTTCAAGCAGACGTCAAACTTCATGGGCTCTATTTGAAAAGAAAAGCAAGTTTCTCTGGTGTCCTGCCCAGATAAAAATTGGCAATAAAGATTTAAAAATTTACATTAATGTCACGCTATGAACATTTCCATTAATGTGTATGTAAATAGAAAATGATCCAAAATGTACTTTGTGTATTCTACTTATTGTTATTATTATTGTTATTATTATTACAGTGTAAACACCATATATTAATAATCCTTGTATTTGACAGTACAACTTATCATGTCAAAACATCTCAAAACGCTTCACAAGAGTTACTGTGTGTTTTGTTGGTGAACACGGCAGCCAATTTGCAAACATTAATGTCCCACAAACTGTAATGACCAGCTTTATTTGGAGGATTCTTGACCAGGCTCTTTTCGAATACTGTCATGGGTTCTTTAAAATGGCAACCTGAACAGGCAGACAGGACCTCAGTTTAACATCTCATCTGAAGTGCGGCACCTCCGACAGTGCAGGGTTCGCCCCGCACTATATTGTCAGCTTAGACCATGACCTTCATGCGCCTTGAATCCACAACCTTGTGACCCCGAAAGTCAAGAGAGTGCTACTAACTGAACCCAGCTAACGAACAACTGAAAGGGAATGGGGAGGGAAAATAAGAGTAAATGGATAATGCTTTTAGAGTGCCAGCAGAGACACAATGGGCCAAATAGCCTCCAAGTGTGCTGTAAATTTCTATAGTTCTGTGTATGAGTTGCAGCCAATCAGTCTCTTTGTCACCTTCCCCTTTCCACACACTAAAAAGCACCACTCGCTGCTGCGTTACAAAGCTGAATGCAATAAAGGAGTCAGTCAGTAGAAAATCACAGAACATTGAAACAAACCTTGCACGAGGTCCGAGGTGAGATGATCCTAGTAATCCAGCAAACCTGTACAGCACCAGGCTAGGGAAGCCTTTAGATTGTCACTGGATACAGAAAACGTCCCTCAAGCTTCATCAGCGCCTGATTGTGAAACACAGACACAGTTTTTATTTGTAAAAATAATAATAATCCCTACATTTGGTACAGCTCATTTTACGTTAGGAAGACACCTCAGGATTTACTGTAAAGTGCAGTGACTGTGCGTTTTGTGGACAAATGTGGCAAACAATTTATTTCTGCAAAAAGAAATAAGCTTTGAAATAAGGTTATGTTCTGTGAGTCCTTCCCCACCCTCCTGATCCCCAATTGTCTGGAAGAACAGACCTGTTTTTTGGTTAGCCGGGTGTCTTACACATGCGGAAACCCATCATCATGTTAAAGAGTATCCAAACCAAACTGAGAATACCAGGCATGGGAATTCTTGTGGGAATTTCTCTTTGTCTAGAAGAAAGTGGAGATTAAGCGGTTGGGGGGGGGGGTGGGGAGCGGGGGACGGAGAGTAATGAATGGATGGCCAATGAATTCCATGGGTGATAATGATCAAAGTCCTGATGGTTTTGAAAGTTTATCATTCCTTCCAATAATTGTCTCTCTTTCACTGATTTGATTGATGTTATGGTAATCTTACTGTAAACCCTTTTCTAAACATTGCAAAGAGCTTTGGGTGGTCTTATGTTAGCCAAAACCTGGAGCTTTCCCATGGATGGGATTGGTGATGATGACATTAGTCTCCAATTGTGTCCTCCTCTATATCTCCCCCTGATAATGATTCCTAATATCCATTAATAGGAAACAGGGTGCAGTTTGTTGGATTCGCAAAAGGATTCACTGGAGGCAAATCCTGCAGATACCCGGATATATCTCATGCCAACCTGCTGGAACACTACTCAACACAGTTCCAATTTCTGACTACCCAGAACTTGGATTGCAGATAAAGGAGTCTGATTCTCGGGGGATATCCCATATTCTCTTTCTGCAGCTCCCTTCGCATTTCTCACAATTTACTCTAATTGTACGTATTCTGCAATAATTAATAACACTAATCCTTACATTTGATACAGCACATTTCATGTCCGGAGGATGTAATGTAGTGACAGTGTATTTTGTAAACTCAGCAGGCAATTTGCACACAGCAATGTCCCTCAAAGAGCGACAAAGTGAATGATCAATTTTATCTGGGGGATTGTTGACCAGGATAAACCTCCCTTGTCTGTTATATTAGAATATAATTAATTGTCAACAACCAATTGTCTTTCACGTTGGGAGGAAAAAATTAAAAAGTTACAAAAGTTAAGGAATAATAAACAATTGAAATCATCCCAATATAACAATAACAAATAAATAAATCTCTCAAATTAAAGAATGCATTTGGGGAAGGTTTCTATTTCAGCTGATTTTTTTCAACAGAGGAGTTAACAACAACAACAACAAGATTACATGTGTATAGCGCCTTTCACGTCCGGAGGACGTCCCAAGGCGCTGGACAGTGTACAGCATTTCAGACCCGAGCTGGTGTCGGGGGGGGAGAAGGTAGGGGAGGGGTGGCCGATGGCATGGTTGAAGAGGACGGTCTTGAAGCGGGACTTGAAGGAGGCGAAGCAGGAGGCGAGGTGGAGTGACTGGGGGATGGAATTCCAGAGGTTGGGGGCAGAGTGGCTGAAGGCTCTCCCGCCAATGGAGGGGCGGGTGGGTCGGGGGATGTGGAGCAGGCCAGAGCCGGCTGAGCAGAGGGAGTGGACAGGTTGGTAGAGGATTAGGAGGTCGCAGAAGTAGGGTGGGGCGAGGCCATGGAGGGCTTTGTGGGTGAGGACCAGGATCTTGAACTGGATCCTCTGAAGGATAGGGAGCCAATGGAGTTGGGCTAGAATGGGGGAGATGGGGTCACGGAGTTTGGTGCGGGAGTGGACACGAGCTGCACAGTTCTGGATTATCTGCAGCCTGTGGAGGGAGAAGTTGGGAAGGCCGACAAGCAGGGAGTTTGCATAGTCGAGCCTGGAGGTGATGAAGGCATGAACAAGAGTTTCAACAGTTTGAGGGGTGAGGTAGTGGCGGAGTCGGGCGATGTTAAGGAGATGAGGGGAGGCAGAGCGGGTCATGGCTTGGATGTGGGGAAAAAAAGACAGTTGAGGGTGGAACAAGACACCTGGGGTCCTGACTGGCTTGATGAGTTGTAGTGAGCAACCATGTTAAGTTAAATGGAGAGAACAAAGAGCTGAATTTACACCCTCTAATAATTTAATTGCCTCAAGGGCACCCAGACTGAAGTTCCCCTGATAAGGATATCAGTATTTACAGTTTAAAGCTATTCAGAATGTTAGGGAAGGAGAAACTCAAACAGAGTTTGCACTTTACACCGTTGTTGGAAAGTTCACACGTGTTAGCTGCTTTGTGTTTGGCTGAGATTCAAGCTCTCTGGGACCCTAGCCTGCATGAGGGGGCCCTGTATAAATGCAAGTTGTTGTTGTTGCTGAGATTCCACTCTGTCCCCCGTTCACACTGTCTGCTGAACATCATCCACTTAGCTCACACATGGAGAACAGTCCTCTCGGACCCACACCACCCACTGACGCAAACCCCTAGTGTGATTTTTCACTTTCAGACAAGGGGAGACAATAGAAAGGGGATTACATGACCCCTTAAAGCCACAAATAATACTTGTATTAGATAAAGCACTTCACATCATTGAGAAGTCTCAAAGCACTTCACAGAACATACTGTAAAGTGAAAACAAAAACAGAAGTCGCTGGGAACACTCAACCAGTTCTGACAAAGGGTCGTGGACCCAAAACATTGACTCACTTTCCTTTCTCCATAGATGCTCCATAGTGTTCCCAGCGACTTCTGTTTTTGTTTTCAGATTTCCAGCATCTGCAGTATTTTGTGTTTTGTATACTGTAAAGTGAATTGACTATTTTGTGGGTGAAACGGGGCAACCAATTGCTCACAGCAGTGTCCTACAAACAGTCATGGATTGAGGGACCAAATTGTTACTTTTTTTTATTTTGAAAGGGTTATTTCCCCTAGAAAGCAATCGGCGAATCGACCAACAACCATGTTCCTGCTTACTGCTGGGTAAACAGAGGTGTGCGAAGTAAGGAAACTTGCCTGAGGTTCCACCCTGCCCGGGAATCGAACCCGGGTTCTCTCTACCAATGAAAAGGATTACCAGTCAATTCCATAAACAAGGGCACCAATAGTTCCACCTGCACATGTTTGCACATGGCACATAATACAGCTGTGTTTGAACATGGTGTATAATAACCTCAATCTTTACAGAATGTATTTTTGGGAGGTCAGCAGGATGTCTGACCCACAAGGAAATCCATAGATTTGCTTCAGAGTGGCCAAACCAGACTGAGAAGTCCACATGCAAATGTTTTCTATTTGTCTGGAATGCAGCATACACTTTCTCTCTCAGAGGGACACAAATTTGCCCAATCCTGAAAAGTTTAGCCGCAGGTTGGCAAGAGCCGAGGTGAGGAACAAAATACATGGGAGGGGTGCCTGGAAAACTGGTCACTGCCAATGAAGGCACCAGAAGCCAGTGTCAGGGCCCGTGAACACAGACGCTGAACAGGCTCCGTTGAGACGGAATAAATGACTTCAAAAGTGATTGAAACATTTCCAGAGAAAGCTTTATAGGAATATGGGAAAGTACAGGACTGGAAGAGTTAAAAATAATAATAATAATAATCTCTGCATTTGATATCGTTGAGACGTCTCAAAGTGCTTCATAGAATATACTGTAAAGTGAATTGACTGTATACTTTTGTGGGCGAAATGCAGCACAGCAGTGTCCCACAAACAGTCGTGGATTGAATGATAAAATTATGGGATTATTATAATCCATGTCTGGTCTTCCCAAAATCAGTACGGTTTTACAGATGGACTGCAGTGAATTCTGTCCTTCTTACTCTATCAGTGTAGATTGGGATGGGTTATTATGTGCTCTTTGAAGGTATTCCTTCTTAGTGTGTACGAGTCTTTCCTCTGATTGTCACCAGAGGATCTTGTGCAGGAAAATAGCAGATAAAGTGGGGCAGACAATCGGTCAGCCTTAATCATCCGGTGCTAGCTTTTATTAACACTACTGTATTTGTCTACCTTCTTTTATGTGTCCACAGAGTACAGCCACACTTGCAGCTTTGGTATCCCTGCTCTCGGTTTACACATTTGACATGCGTTGACCAACGCCACATAAATCTGAAATAGCGGTGTAATTCCCAGTGTAGAACAATAAAAAATGCCTTGCATACAGCTCAATTGAAAAGAAAACTACTTCAGTTCTAAGCCTTGCACATGTATGTAAGATCCAACACCATTCAGAATTGATTGTAAAAAGTTGTTGTAATCCCCATGTGGTTTCCATAGAGCCTGTGACAAACCCCTCTAACATCACATGTCTTCCTGACATGAAAGGCGTTATACAAATGTAATTTGACGTTGTTGTTGTTCCAAGTCCTGCTCTGCTCCTCTGTGCAGAAGGTTTTTCACTTCTGATGGATGTTTTATTTAGGAAAAAGCGGGGTCGAGACGTTGTTGGCACTAGAAAGCTGTCTGTTTCACACACGTTCATTCGTTCACTCACTCTCTTTACTCCTGTAGCACATCCACAAAGGCTCCCCCCCCCCACCCGCCCCAACCCCAGGGCACCGGACAAAGTGTTGAAAGAAAATTCAGTCAAGCGTAAACTATCTCAACAGTTTGTCTTTATTAACACGAAAACTAATCAGCACCCGTCGAGCCTGCTGCCTTTCTGATTGTTGCTGGTGGGTTTATTACCACAGTCAATGGTATCGGACAGCTGGGCTGGGCGGCTGCCTTTACCAGTGGATTGCAATACCATCTGTGCAGTGGCTGTGGGGGCAGAGTGCATGTGCATTTCATACCCCCCCTCCCCCATACTCAAGGGTAAAGGGTAGAGCTCATGTTTTTAAAGCTTTGTTATCACAGACACCAGAGATTATAATGAAACACCATCTGAGCCCTAAGCACGAAGGCTCTTGAGTAAACCCACTGCTGGCTTGCACTGCCTCCTTTACTATCCTCCGGGGTGAGGGGAGGAAGGGGAGGTAAATGGG